GGCATCACCGGGGGGGCCGGGAACAGACGGAGCAGGCAGGCACACACTTAGGGGGTATGCACCCACTCTGGGGGATATGGCACCCCCCGGGAACGGGTGGTCACCCACTCGTAAGGGAGGGCACGCAGCACTGGGGTGCGGACCCTGCGCGGGGGTGGGAGCAGGTACCCCGGGGGTGCCCGCCGTCCCGCCGCGGCGCCGCCGTCCGCCGCCAGGGGGCAGCAGCGCGCAGGGATTGCCCGCCCGCCCGGCTCGTCCCCCCCCCTCCCCTCCCCGGGCCGGGGGTCCTGGCGCTGCGCTGCTGGGGGGCTGCACCTCCTCATTGGAGAGCAGGGGCCTCCCCACCCCACCTCTGCAAGGCTGGCAGGTCTCCTCCAGCCCCAGCATCCCACCAAGAAGGATGCTCTGCAAGGCTGGCAGGTCTCCTCCAGCCCCAGCATCCCACCAAGAAGGATGCTCTGCAAGGCTGGCAGATCTCCTCCAGCCCCAGCATCTCACCAAGAAGGATGCTCTGCAAGGCTGGCAGGTCTCCTCCAGCCCCAGCATCCCACCAAGAAGGATGCCCTGTAGGGCAGGCAGGTCTCCTCCAGCCCCAGCATCCCACCAGGAGGGGTGGTGTGCAAGGCTGGCAGGTCTCTTTTCTTGCCCCACACCCAGGCTTCCAGCAAACACCTTTCCTAAGCCAACCCTGGGACTCCCCTCCTGACTCTTCAGCAGATGTCCTGCCCATGTTGCAAGCATGGGCTACCCCTCACTAGTTCCTTGCAAAATGAGAAGGGACAATCAGCGTCTTGTATCCAGTGACAGCGTGTGATCGGCAGCTCTGCATCTGTGACTTAACCCTGCCGCAATACTTGGAACCGGCAGCTTGTGATTAAAACATATAGGCACATATTTCTGGCTAATTTAAATAGGGTTGTTTTTTTTTTTCCCACTGATAAAAGCAGATCCTGTTTACATTGGTTTCCTCCCAGTGACCCTGCTCTCCTGCCTCCATACATCGTGATGGGGACTGACCCCAGTGTTGAACAGGGGCTCTCCCTCAGCTCCTTTCTGCTGTACACAGGAAATATTTCCTTGGAGTGTGTTTATCCATGATTTTTCAACTTTTCTTTCTTAAAAAAATTACTTTAAAGGGCAGACCAAGTGGACAGTGAGGTGATTCAACTGTTGCTCTGTCGGAGCATGGGAGATCTGTTGATTCATTGCACCTGAGAGTGGGCAAAAATATAAAAGTATATTTATTGCCTTATTTTCCTTGACAATCATTGCAGGAAATGACAGATTTTTGATCTTTCTTATTTCTTTCATTCATTTTTCTCTTCCTTAAGATTTCTCTGTCCTTCCTAGGAAGGACCCTGCTGAGAACAAGCAAAGTAGAGAAACTGGAAAACACAAAATAGTGTACAAGTAAAATGTTCAAATGGATGTTTTTTCTTAAAAACCTCCCACCCAACAAACTCTATTTTTTTTAATGTGAATTAAAAACAAAACAAAATAAAACCAAACCAAGCAAACAAAAAGCACAAACACCCAACACTTGAGGTCAAATTACTCATTTTCCTTATGTTTTGATGAAAACATGTCAACCACCAAAATGAAGTACTGAGATGCTAAACTCAGCATGGGATGACCTGAACCCATGGAATTTTGTGGCTGTATCTTTGCAGCTACACAGATTACTGTCTAGATAAATATATCTTGTCTAATCCATCTAGTGACATACAGAGATAAAGAAAACATGTGCCTTTCTCCAAAGTTAAGACTGGACTGAACTTCTCATGGACTTTAAGCACCTTTTTGATGAGAAAAGAGAGGTTTCTTCCAAATGGCACGATAGCAAATGCTGTTAGGGTGAAGATTACATCTACCCGGCTTCTTGCCCTCCTTGGGTGAACTCTCATCCTCCCTGCTCTCAGGAAGCCAGAGGCAACTTGCCCAACATCACTGAGAGGCTGGAGCTGTCATGGAGGGCAGGGTTCAAATGGGATGCAAGGATAGGATAGTTGAAGGTGGCACCTTTTGGTGGGGGTAAGGTTGCAGCTGCCACTTTGTGTGCTCCTCAGGACTGATGGACCTGCCCCAACTATACATAAAACCTTTGGGGTTGCAGTGATGCCTTTCCCCTCCTGACCAGGACAGGGAGAGAGCACGTCCCATGCCATCACCACAGCTCAGGAAAAGAACATCAACTTATTAAGATCTAGTAACCTCATTGCTTTCCATCTGTCTCCTTGTTTCACTCTAAATGAGGGTTATTACTGTTAATTTAAACTAATGAGGAACAGGTTTACACTAATGCACTGAAACCCAAATAAAAATGTTTGGGGAGGTCTGCATGGAACAACTTAAGGGCTTGATGTAAACACACAGGGAGATCTGCAAGCACCTGGGACCTTGCCAATCTGTTGGACTTGAGCTGGAAGGAGGTACAGCTCCTTCCTCTCTTGATGTGTTGCATCTCTTTCCTGCTTCTTTTTTAACCTTTTTTTAACCTTTCAAGGCAGAGCTCATCCCAGGACTTGGGTAGTGCCACATAGCAAAATGAACAAGGCTTTTTAAATAAACAGAAAGCCACATACACCTGATGAAGAGTGTTTGTCACACTGTAATTACATGTTACACCTGAGTCTTGAAAAGGGAAGGCAATTGTTCAGTGAAAAACCCCACAACTTGAAGGATTTTGATCACCGTTTGCATGTACTCCAGGTTTATACAAGGCTCCCTAAGGAGAGTCATGGCCTGGGTGCACCTGGCTCTGTGAAGCTGCAGTGCAGCTACCTGCAGCATCTCCCAGGTCCACAGCTAGGAGAGATGGATCTTGCTCACATTCAATGCAGAATCATAGAATTGTCTAGGTTGGAAGGGACCTTTAAGATCATCTAGTCCAAATATATAGGGCTGAACTGATAATATTGAAGTGATTGTACAGATGGGCTTGCCTGGCTGTGGGCAGGTGATTCAACATTGCTCTGGGAAGCTGGGATCAGTCTTTGCTGCTTGTCCCTCTGCAGCTGTATCCAGCTAGAATTCAGTTAGCTCTGTTGGTTTCTATGTCCAGCTGACCCCTGGTCTTCAAGCATATTAAAATGGGCTAGAAGTGGTTGCAAAAGGTGATTCCAACCTGTCCTTTGCAGCATGAAACATGGGGCTCTTGAGGCATTCCAGACAAGGAGAGTAATTGGGAGAGGTAATGAGCAAAACGTGGATTGGACATCACCAGAGAGCATTTGTGGGTAATTTTTCTTTTAATCGTGATTAGGGGATGAAAGGTCAAGTGTGTGTAAATTGTCTACATTTGTTGTTGTTGTGATGATGTTATTTTGACTTTGTGTGGGGAATTCTTTTTTTGTTGATGTGTATGAAGTTTGGTTGTGTGATGAATATATGTTTTAATGATAGTGCTGAATTGTTGCAATTTTATTTGGATTCTATGAAAAATCAGGCTACACTTTGAATGTTTATTTCTTAGTTAGTGAGGTGAGAAGGATGAAGAGAGGAAATAGCTTATATCAGCTGACTGATAAAGGTGGGGGGAAAGAAAATCGGACAATCCTCTTGTGACACTGACCTAAAATTGCCCAGATATGTTATACCATCCCTTTCCCCTTGCCTTCCTGGTCCCCTGAACCATCCCAGCCACTATCACCTCAACCCCATTACTATATTTACTATGTTTGCCAGTTTTCTCCTTTGTGTTTGAATGGATTTTGGATTGTACTTTAGATTTTGTTTGGTTTTTTAACTATTTGCTGCCCTACTGCAGTTCTGGTGACCATCAGTTGTGCCCAGACCACACGTAGGAGGGAGAGTGGTGATCTGGCCTAGGTTCCTTTACTGAAGATGGAGTTGCCTCTTCCAAACCCAGCTTTCGTGGTGGCTTTCTCCTCCTGCAGTGGACTGCAATTCCTCTCTGTCCTCTTGGTTAGAAAGTCTCCCCTGGTCTAGCCAAAACTTTCTTTGCTTTTATTTCACGGCTTGTTGCCAGCTAGTGAAGAGATTAATTTATTACCTTCCTCTTATGGGTTTTAATTTAGTTTTGGGGCAACTGAATAGAAAAAGGGAAAATAAAAGCAAAAAGGAAAAAAAAAGGGGAGGAAAAGAAAAGGATCACCAAGAACATTAGCTCCTTATTTCTGTCCACTATCTTAGTGCAATGAAGGTGCTTTTACAGAGCCTGGCTGTGATTGACAGTGAAGACTCTCAGGAACAGAAATTATTTGGGTTTCCTGGGTGCAAGAGCTGACACAGCAAGAGGAGGAGAGAGGCTGAAGGTAACATAAGCCCCTCTGAACTCAAAATGAGAGGTGGCATAAAATGGGGTGGCAAAACATCTTTCAAGCCATCAGCACTTGCAATCGGTGCCTATCGACACGCATGGGCTACAGGCATTTCAGGAGGAGCAAACCTCCACCGCAAATCTCAGATACAGCCTAATACGCTGGACAGGAGCCAAGAAAAGAGGCCAGATTTTTTGTGTGCAAGGAGAACAGCTCTGGGTGCCAAGCTGATATCTGGGCAGCCAAGGAAGGTGGGATGGGTAGATAGA